TGGCAAAAACAGCTAGGTTGAGTTTTGTGGTTAACAATATTTATTTAATAATAAATTCATTTTTCCGGATCAATCTGATCCTTTTTGTTTTCTTCGTGTACTTCCGGTCTTGTTTTTCCAGTATCGAGTGTGTGTGTGTGTAACTGTTGGGCAGTATAGTCATGTTCATGATCTCAAATATATTTTTTATGTATAGTTTTCTTTCTATATTTCATTTCTTTGTCTATCTGTGTTTTGGGAGGTATAAACTTAAGTTTTAAAGTTTCAACTGATATAACATGAGTGCTGTCACTGACACTGTGCTATATCGGCGAACTGTCAGGGCTTGGGTGATAAAATCAAAAGGAAAGACGTGTTCTCATACTTAAGGGATAAATGATATAGTATTTACTGTCTTGAGGACACCCATTTTACACATGATCAGGAAAATTTCATAAGAAATGAATGGGGATACCAGTTATTTTAGTTCTTTTAAATCAAGTTCACGTGGTGTGGCTATTCTTTTAAATAATAATTTTGAGGGGAAAGTGCATAAAAAGAGTGATTTACATGGTAATGTCCTTGCTCTTGACATTGATATTGATGGGTCTATGACAACTCTTATTTCCTTGTATGGTTCAAATCAGCACACCCCAGATTTTTATAATCAAGTAACTGATACAGTGAATAGGTTTGGAAATGAAAATATTATAATACCGGTATGTGGGGACTTCAACTTAGTTTTAAAACCATCTTTAGATTATGATAATAATTTTAGATTTGTTAATAATACTGCTGCTAGGGAACAGGTATTTGAATAAATAGAATAAAAAATAAAAAATAACTAGAATTATGTCAGTGTGACATTACAGCCGCTCACCACTTTAAATTTAATTGCTTCAGTAACACATTCAGCATCAAAATCTACTATAATACCTCAGAAATGTGTTCTGTATTCTGCTAATTGAAAATCAAGTCATGTGATGATGTTGCCTTTGGGATTTTCAAAATCAATCGCCTCTGAAATGATGCCTTAAAAAGATTTCTCCCTCTCCTCTTTTTTCACCCTCTTTAAGTGTGACGCATTGTTGTAATTTTCATTAATTTTGTTTTTTTGTTTGATTTTGTTTAACGTCCTATTAACAGCTAAGGTCATTTAAGGACGTCCTCCCCTGTGTGCAAGATGCATGCGTGTAGTGTTTGTGTGTGTATTTTGGGAGGCTGCGATATGTTCGTGTTTGTCTTTGTGATAGCGCGGAACTAATGCCGACTTTATAGTGCTACCTCACTGAAACATACTGCCGAAGACACCCAGCAGGACGCCTCACCCGGTCACATTATACTGACAACGGGCGAACCAGTCGACCCACTACTAACTTGCTGAGCGTTAAGCAGGAGTATAAACTACCATTTTTACAGACTCTGGTATATCTCGGCCAGGGGACAGAACCCAAAGCATTCCTCACAGGGGCGAACGCTCAACAAATGACCAAAAGTGAGGCATTGTCAAGGGAGACATTAGGAAGAATAAAGTTATTTAGAAAGGAGAAAAGGAAAAAGGTCCCAAATTTAGTCGCCTCTTACGATCATGCAATTGGGGGCAGCAGGTACAATTCTTACGCTCTATCTGCAGGGAACGTAATTTTTCGTTAAATAGCATCCGCCAATGATGTAACATGAGCATTTACGTGCCGAATGGCAATCGGTGAATGGATAATATAGAATAGGTGCATTTTGTGCTTGTGAAATGAAGGATAATAAAACAGTAGTGGGAAAACATGCATGGAGAAAAGAGACATTGTACTTTTATTTTTATTTATTTTTTATTAATAACAATAATAACTACAACATTGACAGGTCAGTAAGGGCCCAGTCTTGTGGCAATATATCCCCCATAATTATCAAGAAGCGATCTGCCCATATAGCTGAGCTTGAAGTTTGACATTTGGACTTCAAAAAGAATCGCAAGGAAGCAAAATATACATTTTACATGTACTATGATGTGAGTCTAGTTTCCTTCCACCTCCATATTTGCTGGGCTAACAGAAATGTAAATACCAGTGAAACACTCATTTGTTAGCTTTGCTTTGTTTTATTTCACCTTATAAACCTCCTCCATCAAAAGCCAGGGTCAAAGTCAGAGATCAACTTTGTCTTTGACCTTTGGACCCAAATGACCTTGACCATTAACCCAGTGACCCTGATCTTTGGTCAGTTGACTTATTCTTTAATTCAGACCAACTTTACTTCTTAATATCATAACAAAATGTTCATCAGTGAAAAATATAAAACTTGAACTTGACCCTTTGGACCCCGTGACCTGGAACTAAGGTCATGCAGATGACTCTGTGTTAAGTTCTGAACAACACTGCTTCATAATGTCATAAAAAAATGTTGATCAGGGAAAAGGTACAAAATTTAACCTTGACCTTTGACCTAGTGACCTTGGGTCAATTGACTCCTTTTTTAATTCTGAGCAACATTGCTTCAAAGTGTCATAGCAAAATGTTCACCAGCGAAAAGATACAAAATTTAACCTTGACCTTTGACCCAATGACCTTGACCTTTGGTCAGTCAACTCCTTGTTTAATTCTGATTAACTTTGCTTCATAATATCATTACAAAATGTTCATCAGTGAAAAGATGCAAAATTTGATCTTGACCTTTGAATCTAATGACCTTGACCTTTGGCCTTGAGTTTTTTACCTCAGTGTGTCTCTTTGTTTAATTCCGAACAACTTTGCTTCATAATGTCAGCGAAATGTTCACCAGTGAAAAGCTACAAAATTTGACATTGTTCCCTGACCCGATGACCTTGACCTTAGGTCAGTTGACTCCTTGTTTAATTCTGATCAACTTTGCTTCATAATGTCATAACAAAATGATCATCAGTGAAAAGGTTTGACCTTTGAACCTTATGACCTTGACCTTTGACCTGGACTTTTTACCGCAATGTGTATTTTTGTGAACTGAACATCTTGATCAAGTTTCATGTACATCGGTCCATGGATACTAAAGTTATCAGCCAGGAACAAAATTTGTGGACGGACAGACAGAGTGATTACTATAGGGCTCCCGTATTTCCGATACGGGACCCTAATTAATATATGTAGCTACTATATTCACCGTCATTGAATATACAAAATCTCACAAATGTTCTTGGTATATATTTGAATTTTATTTCTCAATGTGACTTTAACAACGTAAGAGTTATTTCCCTTACACCGAATTGGATACTATTTTGACACGGCGCGACTGTTGTGTCATGTTCTTAAATTGTTACACTTTCATAAATCAATACACCAGAAATAGCATGCTGTGTCACAGAAATGTTGATAAGCATACACAGTTCACATATCGTCTCGTCTCAGAGCCATTACCGTTATCAACCTAAGCACGATATGTCATATTACGTTCCTGTTTGAAACATCAAAATAGAGTTTATACTTCATCACTCATACGGTTTATAAGTATATATATTTACTTCTTCCTTCTACAGACAGCGTCAATGCTTGACAGTCTTGACATGTGATTTCTCGAATCATGTGTTTTACACGCGTAACACTCCTCAGATCGCAATCCGAGTTGCTAAAACGCTCAAACCTAGTGCACAAATTTCACCACCACAACACTCGTAGAATGCACAGGAATTAATTAAAGTATGGATTATAATTTGGAGAAGAGTATCAGAAGACTTTATGTAACCCACAGGCGAGTGTCAGAGATTCTACTTTCTATTTACGATAACGAAACTATATAGCGGAAGCATGCAAGACTGAATTATGCGCACGCACCCCGAACGGAAGTGGGTCCGTCATTTCGTTCTCTGGACAGAATTAATAAGCCGCTCGGCTCTCGCCAAGAGCGGCTTAATAAAAATCCCTGGAGAAAATCTATTCAACATTCTAGTGATTGTTTTGTTATTATGATCATCAGAGAAAAAACAGATAACATTCTACTGTAATTTATAATTCATTCTCATCAAAGTCTCTATGTTGTTAAAACAGATAAGTCAGACAATTAGATCAGTGGTGCCTAGATAGTGTAACAACTGTATAAGTGGTAACTTGATAGTGTGACAACTGTACAAGTGGTGACTTGATAGTAAGACAACAGTATACGTGGTGACTTGTTAGTCTGACAACTGTATAAGTGGTGACTGGATAGTGTGACAACTGTATAAGTGGTGACTTGATGGTGTGACAACTGTATAAGTGGTGACTCGATAGTGTGACAACAGTATAAGTGGTGACTGGATAGTGTGACAACTGTATAAGTGGTGACTTGATAGTATGACAACTGTATTAGTGGTGACTTGATAGTATGACAACTGTATAAGTGGTGACTTGATAGTGTGACAACTGTATTAGTGGTGACCTGATAGTGTGACAACAGTATAAGTGGTGACCTGATAGTGAGACAACTGTATAAGTGGTGACTTGATAGTGTGACAACTGTAAAAGCGATGACTGGTCAGTGTGACAACTGTATATTAGTGGTTACTGGTCAGTGTGACAACAGTAAAAGTAGTGACCTACAACATGTAATAGTGTGACAACAGTATAAGTGGTGACCTGATAGTGTGACAACTGTATAAGTGGTGACTTGATAGTGTGACAACTGTATAAGTTGTGACTAAATAGTGTGACAACATATAAGTGGTGACTGGATAGTGTGACAACTATATAAGTTGTGAATTGATAGTATGACAACTGTATAAGTTGTGACTGGATAGTGTGACAACAGTATAAGTGGTGACTTGATAGTGTGACAACTGTATAAGGGGTGACTGGATAGTGTGACAACTGTTCGGTTAACATAACAACCCAACATAATGACATTAACCCAACATAATGCAGACAATTAATAAAGATAAGACAGTCGTAGCGTTCCATATTCCAGACTGACACAGGTGTACAGACTGTGAGGTGTGCTTACAGGGTTCTTGGATGCAAGTAAACAACCTCAGAGATACAAGTCTCTAGATTTCTTTGAGCAGGTAGTTTATCACGAGACATTACCTCTCCCCTCGTGTTTGTTCTAGCTTGTCTGTACAGACGATCTATTCTCCGCCGGAAGTCGACAAAGTCAGGAATGACAAACTGGCTCCTGAAGGCCTTACTGATGAGGACGATATTATCATTGATACACCTGTAAATATAAGAATAGAATCATTTGGGCATGGACAAAAATTAATTCAGCATCTAGGAGATTTATTAGGCAAGATTTTTTTGCTTATAAATTAGCATATTTATCATTAAATATAAAGAGATAAATTTATTATCACTGTAACCATATATAATGCTCAATAAAATAAATTCAAGATCATGGTTACCTTTGGGGAAAAATTCAAGATCATGGTTACCACTTTAAACAAATTTTAAATCATGGTTGCTATGGTAGATAAATTCAACACATTTGTTGCCATGGTAAATAAATTCAAAATCAAAGTTGCCATGGAAAACAAATTCAAGGAAATGGTAACCATGGTAAAAAGACTGTATTATTCACATTGGACTTGGCCTGTTTATATATATGTTTTCTTTTGTTTGTGTCATAAACTTCAACGGGAATCTTGGCTATCATGATCAGTGAGCAGTGTTCTCACTAAGTTTTGAAATCAGTTTGACTTGAAAACAAGAGTGCCCACCATTCTACCAACTTCATTAGTTCTTTGTCAGTTTGATCTTTTCTTTTATCTGTTTGATCAAGTCATGTTAACAGTATATGCACCTTGAGGTAACTTTGGTCTAAACTCAATACTGCTGTGTATAAAAGACAACCTTCAAAGTGAGTTTGTTATTTCACATATTTACTAGTAAAGTACTTAATGTGAAAAAATAGAACCAATCATTGCAATATGAGAAAGATCTGTTAAGTTCTTCCTTTCGGCCATTTTTATGATCAGTCTCAAAATGAAACATGCACAACTTAGGGATCAAGGGGAACCTACAAACATATCAAATTTGAGAACGATCCCTCAAGTTATTCCTGAGAAATAGCACTAACAAACCGTCAATGTCAAAAATCAAAGATGGCTGTCTGTTGGCCATTTTGTTTATCTGATCAGTCTCAAAAGTTAAAACATCAACAACAAGGGACCGTGGGGAACCTACATGTACATATAAAATTTGAGAAAGATCTCTCCAATACTTCCTGGGAAATAGCACAAATAAACCTCAACTGTCAAAATCAAAGATTTTTTTATCCAATCAGTCAAGAAAACATGCACAAGTATACACACCAGGGGGAACCTACAAGTCAAATTAAAAAAAATTCTCCAGTACTGATTAAGAAATGGCAATTAGACGAATTACAAACCTCCACTGTCAAAATCCAAGATGGCTGCTTTTCGGCCATTTTGTTTATCTGATCAGTCTCAAAAGTAAACATGCACAGCTAGGGACCAAGGGAAACCTAGATATAAATTTTGAGAAAGATCCGTCTGTTACTACCTGAGAAATAGTGATAACAAGAATTGTTTAAGGACGGACGACGGACCACAGACCACGGTCCATGGACACAGGGCGATTTGAATAGCACACCATCAGATAATGGTGGACTAAAATCAGCCGGCTGTATATTCACATGGTATAATGCTGACCTATACATATTCATACTTCGGACAAAATAGCCAGTTCAAAGTTGATGAATAGCAGGCTACTTTTGCCAGAAACTGGATTTTAAGAAGATTTTAATGCCTAAAGGAGTTCATGAATATTAATGAGCATGTGAAGATGTACAAGATTCAATTAAATTGATACATAAATTTCAACATGTTACATTCTAGCTCATTTGAATTGTAACACAACATTTGAGTGGTCAATCAAGATAATTTGCTTCAGTATTACCCTGATATGGTGTCCGCAAATGTCTCATTTGCATAAGAATCCAAGCATGCATTTGTTAATGACGTCACTGAACCCGACTGACCCTGACAGTCACACGTCATGAATTGATCATTCACGACATTACGAACAATATCATATAACCCCTATAGGTCAATGCAATTTTGTCTCACTTTGAATAATCCTGTCGTCACCAATCCACAGCAGGGTAACTAAGGTTTTGAAGAAAAAGCTAAATGAAATTTCTTAAAATCATGGTTTTAGCTTATACAAATCAAATTAGAATGGACATAGTACACTACTGGTTTTTGAGATTTGCAGTGATATATTGTTATTATGATGTTGCAAACGCTGTTTTACTGGCTCTGCTCAACATCGCCAGTAAAACTCTATTTGCCAAAGTATAATCACAACATTGCCACAAATTTCCAAACACAGCAGGGTTATCCCCTAGATACAGTCTATTTGTCTGGAAACATTTAGCTAACTTTTATATCCAGGTGTGATCTAAGGACGTACTCTTTGAACTGGTTTCGATCCACTCTCACACTGTCGTACAAATCTTGTAGACCTGCTTCATTTTGAAGGTTGGCAAAATTCTGCATACATTCGGAGAGGCGAGGATCAGTGTCTCGTAGACCAGTCATATGTAGCATCTATAATAATAAAACATATTGTTAAATTTGTCATTTACAGAAAACAATGAAATACCTAACAATTGTTCAGAGGTTGTAATTACTTAAGGAGACCAAGACTTTTTTTTTCCAATTGTTTTTTCTTAAAAGAGCTGGCAATCTCCGAAAGGTACATTCAATTGCTCTTTATGCTTTATTTAATTTCATATTCATACATATCACCAAAAAATTAACACTTCACCAAAAGCTGCCTTGTATTAAACAACATCTATACAACTCACAGTGTGAAATCATTCTCGTTTTCCTCATCTAGTAAATTAGGGCTCTTGTGAGCAGGTATTGAATGTTACGTCATTAGTTTGTGTGAGAAAATTACGTTGTTTTTCTCAAAAAATGATGACGTTGCTCTCACAAACAAATGTCATAAAAATCAATACCTGCTATCAAGAGCAGATAACTCTGCAATACAGAGAGACGGAATATGTCTCGCTGGGTATAAAAAGAGCATTTTCTGTTTACCTATAATATGGAATGCATTATTGCTTTGTTTAACCACTTAAAAATGTTTAATAATCTATTCTTCATGTTATACATACCTTAACCAAATGTACTGACAATTTAACTCATTCACCCCTACATATTTAAACTGGACTTGCCCTGAGTCTTTGATTTGGTAAGGTTCAAATGTGACAGTAGGGTGAATGGGTTAAAGAAGTTGTGACTGGTTTATAACAAATGCAAATTTATCAAGGCCTGTATGCATGAAACCATTCTCATGCTCAGGCCCGGATAATGTGCTCACAGTTATTTAATGTAACTCTCGCAAATCATGCAACATGATAAACAAGAGGCCCATGGGCCTAAACGGTCACCTGAGTCTACAGTATTTATTTTTGTTGTTGAAATATGTACCAATTTGAGTAAAAAATAGTATAATGTTAACTTAACTTTGTCAGGACCATGAGCTGATCATTCCTAGACCAATTTTAAGTGAGATCGGCCTATTAGAACTTAGTAGCAAAATAGCGGCCATGGCAGCCAAAT